GCCCGCCTGGTCGCCCGCCGCCCGCCGCCCCGCCGCCCCGCCTCACACTTCTCTCCGCAGGGCTGCAGGACGCCGCTGACGACCCGGCGCCCAAGGGCTCGGCCCAGACCCCTGCAGCGCCCCCCGACTGGGCCAACGTGAGCTGCAGCCCCCGGCCTGGGGCTCCGGAGGCCGCGATGGGGGGTGAGGCGGGGCGTGTGAGGCGGGAGGGCGTTTGGGGAGCCGCCCCTTCCAGACCCCGGCCTCACAGCACCGTGCGCCCGCAGCCCGGGTCTTCTCGACGGTGACGGCCATCTCGGTGCTGCTGCTGCTGCTGCTGTCGCTGCTGCGTCTGCTGCGCCGACGGTGCGCCCCCTGGGACGGGGCCTGAGGGCGGACGCCTCGGTGCCCCGGGGCGGGGGGGGGACCCCGCTGGGAAGCTGGGGCCTCCAAGGGGACCGGGGCTGGGAGGAAATCCTGGGTTCTTGAGGGCCGAGGCCTTGCGTCCACACAGGGATTTGCGCGTGGGATCGCAGGCGAAGCAAGATGCTGGAGGTAAGTTGGTTGGGGCTTCGGCTGACGTCTGCTCCCTCTCTAGGAGCTGTCTGCTGGCTCCGGGGAAAGGCCCCCCGGCGTTGGGGCCTTCCCGGGGCCCTGGGAGAAGCTGGGCTGTGTGGTACCGCCGGCCTCGAGGGGTGGCCCTGCCCTGCCCTCCCGGGGACCCTCAGACTGAGGGTCTAGCCGCGAGTTACCGGCCCCTGAGCGCCTCCAGCCAGAGTTCCCTGCGCTCGCTCATCTCTGCTCTCTGACTCGGGACTCCCAGGGTCCACTGGACCCTCCCCAGCGGAATGGACACCTGAGACTTCATGCCGCACTCTGCGTTGACCTTCCGCCCCTGTAAGGGCATCTCTGTCCCTGGTCATCCGTGGAGGCCAGGCATTGGACAGGAAGCATCTGATGCTGTTATTGAGAACTTGGTCTGACCCTCGGGGTCCAGATGGTTGAGACCCAAGGGCAAGAGGAATCCCAGCTTCCCTTCCTCATGAACCTTGAAACGGGGATCTCTGATTTCAGGTTGCTTTGAGAGCTTCTTGGGGTGGTCCTGGACTGCTGCCCTAAGGGAAATGTGAGAGGTCGAGAAAAGTAGTCAAAAGACCAACGGTAGACTTTGAATAAAGGACCTATTTTGGTACAGGGCTCTGCAAGTTGCTGCGTAATGAGAGGGATTATGTTAATGAGGGTATCGGAGCCAAGGTTGGGTGTATCCATGCAAATTAAGGTCGGTCCCCACAAGGGGTGATTTGGAGCCTCCTGGAATGCTGAAGACTGAGGAACTGAGGAGGCGAAAGGATGCGTGGGCGGGGTCCTGTAGAAGGGGAGGAGGAGGAAGCCGGTTGTGGGCGGGTTTAAGCCGAAGAAGGCACGCATTCCTGGACCCGGTTTAGGATGAACCCGGGAAGGGACCGACGTTTCTCCCTTGGCCTCCTACCTTCTCTCTTCCCCTCTGTTTCCTGTCTTTTCTGGGTGGAACCGAAGGTGCCCTTGTTGTGGAAAATAATCAGACCCTCGAGAAACCAAGTGACACTCGAAGAAGTAGGAGAACTCGGGTTTATTTTACGCCAGCGGACCCAGACGAGCTCGCACTCGAAATTCTGGGCCCCGGGCAGCGGGGTTACAGGGTTTTTATAGGGGGGTGCAGCGGGTCAGGTTCCAAGGGCTATGCTGGCTGCTGGTATATGGATTTACCTGGGGGAGCGGGGGGGCCTGCTTTAGGCAGGAACAGCGGTTAGGGAGCTTGTGGCGGGAAGCCTGTTCAGAAGCAGAAACGGCTGGTTATCTCTTGCTCCCAGCGGGACTTCTGGTTATCTCTTGCTCTACCACCTGAGCTAGCAACTTTCCATCCTCTGGGGCCTGCTGGCCTGGGCCTGCTCTGGGTAATTTTCCTCTTCACCCCCAGTGGGCGATAACAGGGAGCGAGTTTGACCGAGCCCAGGTTATAAGGAGCCTGGCCTGAAGGGCAGGGCATGGCCCGAGGGTGCTGGGCGCGTCACACACACCTGTAGAGGCCTGGGCATCTCAGCGTGGCTTGCTGCGCTCCGGCTGAGTCGGGAAGGTGGAGAGATCACCCCTGGAGTGGGGACGCGCCAGGTCTAGACTTTACTGGTCGGAAGGTTCGGGGCCGGCAGCACCTTGGACAGAGCGCGGGTGAGGGGTGGGGCTGCGTGGCGGGGAGGGTGAGTACCCAAGGGTGCCTCGACCTGGGGGGTCGCGCGGAAAGCCCGGGCGCGCACGGCAGACTCAAGGCGCCGGGGCCTCTCCAGCAGAGCCACCGGGACCCAGAACATTGGATCCCTCGTCCACAGCTACCCCATGCAAATGAGGCTAGGACCGCATACATTATGCTAATTAAGCGAAAGTCTGGGCGGGCGGGGGCGGGGCCTCCCCAGCCAGCCGCGCCCATTGGCCCTCGCAGGGCTGACGTCACGAGCACCGCGCGCGAAACGCTGGCGGGATGGCGGGGGCGAGCCGCTGGGGCGGAGTCTGGCGTCCCCACCAGCGTCCGGCCGCACCCGTCCTACCGGCTGAGAAG